CGATCTGCCCGGTCTCATTGCACTCCAATGAAGGCACAGAGACCTTAATGTTTAGCAGGTACCATTCCTGGGAACTTCTGTTCCTGTAAAACACATCTTTGTTTTATTTTTCTTGCTTCCCTGTAATTTAGGACATCCGTAGGAATTACAAATCTAATGTTCCCATGGTGATTATTATTTTTTTTTAATCTCAATATGTTTTGAAGTTTAATCTGCAGACCCCTTATTGAGTCAGGTTATTGTAATAGAAGATCATGTGACTTTGTGTTTCATAGTCAAAAGAAGTGAATCCCCTGCTGTGGACTGGTTGCAGTCGGGAGCAGAGTCTTTGGGTGCTGAGTAGGGTTATGTCACTGAAATAAACTGGAAATCACTGAGCTAATCATTGAGGTCCCTGTAAAACTGTCTGTTCTGGGGAACTGTGCTGTGGGAAAAGGCAGAGATTGTAGATATTGGGGTGGATCATCCATGGATCAATCCTGATCGACGCTGCCTGTGTGTATATGGTCAGTCCTTGGTCAATAGGCGCTGACTTGGAGGGAGATGATGCCGTAGAAGACGGCCGTGACTTGTGTAATCGTAGAGATTGGGATTTGGAAATGTGTGGCAAACAGCCCTGGTGCAAGGCTCGCTTTCCATTAAAAATCTTGGCCTCTAATTAAGAGAGAGACGCCCTTCTCCGAGAAACCATTGCTGGGTTTCGTTAAGACAGACTCTGTGTCGTTGTCCAGCTTGTTGAGGGCTTTCTGTGCCGGAGGTAGAGGTGCTTTGGCAGGGCCTGCCCGTGCCTGTGGTGAGCATTGCACACCTTCCCTTGGGCAGCTTGAGATGGGTCCAGAGGATTTACTGGAACGCTTTCCTAACGAAATAAAAATGTAAAAGAGCAAGATGTGGTCTGCTCTGTCACACGTGGCGTTTGTCATTGTGCTCTCTCCGTGAACAGATAGTCTATGCAGAGCGGCCTCTAACTGACAACAACAGATCCTTGGCCTCCTATGGCTTGAAAGACGGGGACGTGGTGATCTTACGGCAGAAGGAGACTGTAGAGCCGCGGCCTGCCATCCGTTTCCCAGGTGAGCGAGGATTTGTGCTGACTTTTGCTCTGAGCATCCCAAGATCTCCGTGTTTACCAAACACCAACTCCATTTCATGTCGGTCTCCTTTCGTACCTCGCTAGGCAAAACATTTAGGAAGGAAGGTAGCTAGGGACAAGGCAGGGGGCTTTTAAAATTGGCTAAAGGGCTTGTTATTTGATGCTATTTTTAATTGTAAGGAAGCGAATACTGGCTTACGGTTCTTTTGGGGAAATACAGAGAAAGTGAGCCAGTTTTGTAAAGGCATGTGAATTTTCATACATCCCTTCCTGCTCGGTGTAACGGTGCAGTAAAATGCGGTCTGTGTGGCTCAGACACCTTAAAAGGCCATTGCGACGCACGCTCTGAATCTCTGCTGTGACAAATACCCAGAGAAGCCGCATCTTTACAAACCCCGTTACGCAATTGTGCACACGTGCGAAAGACTCCTCTGATAACGTCTGAGCAGGGCCCTGCTCCTCCGTCCCGCCTTCTGCAGCGATTCCTAGCAAATCCCCCTCGTAAAATATCGCTGGAAAAGAGGGCACTGCTGGCTGAGGAGGGCGTGGGAGCATTGCTGAGGTCTTCATCCTCCTGCCTCAGCTGGAGGATTGGTATCTGCAGTGCACATCTGCAGAAATGTTACTTTTTTTTTTTCCCTCTCCCTGTCTTTTTTAATCCAAGAGATTCAGAAGTGCCTTAGAGACTCTGGGTTTAGCCCTGTGATCCCTGTGCGTGGTATTCACATTTGTGAAGCTGGAAATAACCAGTCTGCGATTCAGTGTGTTTCAGGGGATAAAAAATGGGCCAGATCGACGGCTAGACCAGTTACGTAAATACGTGCTAGCATTCCTAACCCAGTAACCCGAGTACGTGGCTGTGCTTCCGACACGAATTGCTGTTCGCAGAATCCAGCCTAACGCTGTCGCATTAGTAGCAGCTCGGCCTTCTCCACATTTTTCAAGCAGAATTGTAAACGTGAAGCACCGACTCTGACCTCTTTCCCCTCCAGGGCTGCCGAGGATTGACTTCAGCAGCATCGCAGTTCCTGGGACATCCACGCAGCAGCACCAACCCCCAGCGCAGCGTCTTCGCCCCTCGCCTCCCGATGCGCCTTCGTTCCCTCAGGGTTTGGACAATCCAGCGCTGCTGCGGGACATGCTGCTCGCGAACCCCCACGAGCTGTCCCTGCTGAAGGAGCGCAACCCTCCCCTGGCAGAGGCGTTGCTCAGTGGAGACCTTGGTAAGTTGGGGTTTTTAATCTGTGGGAGGTGGTTTGAAATCGGTTTGAGCTCGGTTCTGGTAAAAGGCAGCTGCAGGTTTTTAACTAGCCGGGATGCTCACTGCCAGCTCATTGATGGTGCTGATGAAAGGTGTCGGCTGGGAGTACTCAAGCCAGAGTTCCTCGCCTCCTAACAAGACTGGTTCTGGCAAGTTGGGCACATTTCTCCTGCTTGGCTTTTTTAATATCCTCTATCCCCTACTTTGAAGTATCAGAAGCATGGATAAATCAAGTGTCTGTGAAGACAAGTGACTCAGCTCCCGATTTTTATGCTAACACTCTCCAAATGCACGTATTCCATAATGGTGTTGTGTTTGCTGCATCCCAGAGCCCATGGAGACCTCAGCAGAGAGCAGCATGCTGTAAACTAACTCTGTCTGTAATGGTTAGCTGGTGCCAAAGTGGGCAGCATCAGAAGGGAGAGGAGAAGAAACACTAAATGCTGTCTTTAGGAGGTTTTTCCCATAGGAATAGTCCTAAATGTTTAAGTCTTTGTTAGTCTTGAAAGTGTTCATGTATTTTGGGTGCAGTTGAAGCTTGGTACCGTGTTCTCCACTTCCTCTGCAAGTGAGTAGCTGATGTTGGTCCCTCATTCTTCATGTGATGAAAGCTTTGAACTCAAGTGTTCTTTCAGTAGGAAGAGAGTGGTGTTTTGGGCATCAGAAGGTGCGCTTCTAGACCTCTGCGAGATGTCTTTTTGGGAAATAAATCCTGTTGAGTTTGAGGAAATGAATGAAGAGGAGGAGCTTCTGGCAGGAGACTTTTATTCCTTTTTCAAGGTTACATCCTAGTGATTTCTCTCGGTCAAAGGAAGCTAGAAAGGAACTTGCATGGATATTGTTGGCATGTTTTATTTTTTAATTCTGACTTTACCTCATATCCAGAGTTCAAATCATTACCTTTGCACTCTCCAGCTTCCTTGCGCTTCTTGTGAGCGCTGCATCCGTAGTGCAGGAGTTTTTCCCGTCACCTTTAGGAGAAGTGCTGCTGTTGGCACAGCTCAGGAGACCCAAACCTGGCTCATTTGCTGATCTGTTTTGTCTTGCATGCATTAAGCTTTGATTCAGGTGTGCATTTTTAGTCCCAAATCGCCACAGTGGGCTGTCAGAAGGAACTGGGGTTTGATCTGGTTATGCTCTCATTGTGCTGGATCACTACTATTGGTATTTGGGCACAGATCCAGTTCAGCTCAGGCTCTGATGCCCAAATGTACGCATAGATACGTGCCATGTGACTGTGCTGGATGCACCGCGAGCGCTTTAGAAGGCACCTGCTATACAAAAGCCTAATTTAAAAAAGAACAAACAAGAAAACATATCCCGTGCCTTCCTGAACATGTAACGGCCTTTGAGTCAGAAAGCCTCTTCATGGGAGCTGCATTTCTGAAAGCAAACCCACAGCCTTCTGTGTTTACAGAGCTTAATTTATTGCCAAGTGCTTTTGGGAACGTATGTGATCAGATCCAAGTAGTAAAAAAAAAATAGCCAGAGGCCATCCAGAGAAGTGGGGATCTAAAAACTGTGTCCTTAAAACATGCAGCTAGACATTGTGAAGCAGGCGTCCTGCAGGACCTCTTGATTTCCGTGACAGGCATTCAGCTTTAGGGATCCTGATGTCTCTGTCTTTGCCTCTGTTGCTCGGGTTCAAAGTAAGTTTTGTTGTTGGGCTTTTTGTGTCTTACAATTTTGCACTTGCTCTTTGCTGGATCTACAGGCTGTTCGTTTACCAGGGACTGCTGAGTGTAAAACGTGATAGATCTTGCAAGCTGTTCTTGTGGATGGGCTCGCTGACAGCTGTGAGAGCTCGCTTCTATCTCTGGAGCTTTTTGAAAATACGTGTGCACTCAAGCCTCTTGTTCGAATCATGCAAGGTCTCTAGTCCTGATTTCTGCTTTGGGTCTCAGTCATATGCTGGTTTTGCAGCTGTTGGGTTGGTTTTTTTTTTTGGAGTATTGGGTAGGCAATTCTTGCTGCAATAGAATGAACTCCTGTTTTAATGGCAGCTCTCTGTTTTAAATATTGCCTTCATGTTTTTTTCCATTTTTCTTCCATACAGAAATGTACGTGCAAAGAAATTGAGTTTGATTGTGCTGAGTTTGCATAGCAGACACAAGGTTAAAGAGATTCGTGCAGTTGTTTTTCATCTCAGCAGGTTTCTGGGTTTGCCACCGATGCTTTGAGGTCCATCCGTGCTGCCTTCAGAGGAAGCCTTTTGTGGCTGCACTGCTGAGCCTACCCCTGAGTGCACAGTGGCATAAAAAGAGGAGTTTGCTGTGCCAAAACTTGATTTGTAAGAGTAATTTCCAGTAAAAAGCATTTCTGTGTCTCCCTGTCACTGCAGAGAAATTCACCAGGGTGTTGCTGGAGCAGCAGCAGGACCGAGCCCGGAGGGAGCAGGAGAGGATCCGACTCTATTCAGCTGACCCTTTTGATCTGGAGGCACAGGCCAAGATAGAAGAAGACATCAGGTAGCAAACCAAAGTCACTCACAGGCTTTGGAGGTCTCCACGGTGGTTTTTTCCACAGGGTGCTTCTATCCATGGTGCCTTTTCCTTGGAGGATGCAAGTTATGTGTTAGATCCTGCCTTAAGACATGCATTTGCTCTCAGAGCGATGCCACGTTTGCAGGTGGGAAGGTTGGGATTAGGGGACACGTAGGTGTACCCCATCCTTTAGACATATCCAGCTGAGCACAGATCATGAGGTGGTGGCACCGCTGCCCATTCCTGTGATGTCCCAGCGCTGTCTAAGCTGGTCCACTCTGTAACAGGAGCCCTTGTGGAAAGTGCTTGGCCGAGATCTTCTTGAGAGGTGGCACTTGGGCACCTCAAGCGTGTTTGGAACTGGAGAGCTGGGCCTGTGGCAGTCTCTAAGCTGAGCTCTCTGCACAGCAACACGGTGTCATTTCTCCCAGCTGCCTTCAAGATTTGATTTCACATAGTGCTAATTGTTTCGTCTCTCTGGCTAATTCCAGACTCTGAACATCACTGCTGTCAGAAGAAATGCTCTGTAGAAATATGTTGTGCTCGTCAGTGCTCGCTGCCTCTTGCTGTCTTCCAAATGTAATTGCATTGGACTGAGGCTTGATTTCTTAAATTGAGTGATAAATCCTTGAGTCAGAACACAACTGGTGGTTTGGTTTTTTTCTCGATAAAGAAATGTCTTTCTGATACAGGCTCATAGTTGGTCATAACCAAAATTCATTTGTGATAAGAGTCATTCTTGCGTTTTGCACAAGGTGTTGGTGCCGGATAAATGCTTAGCTTAACATTGCAGAAAAATATACATTTGTAGATAGCAAAACATTGCTCAGAGGCATAGGAACGCTTTCCTTCCTCCATAGATGAGGTGACAGATAAAGGTGATATGCCCAAGGCTGTGCAGCTGCGAGGGAACAGTTTGGGCATCCAGCAGTCCCCAGATTTCACACCCCACTTAGTTTCTCCGAACTCTGCTTAATTAGATGTGCTCTGCCCGAGATTGATTGGGAGCTACTGCAGGCATCGTATTTTTTTGAGACATCTCTGTCCTTCAAGTGTACCTTATGTGGAGAGAGCGTCAAGCACAGAGAAAGCGGAATAATGAATTTGACAAGAAAAAAACCTTAAGATTAACCACTGCATATCTGATTTAAGCTTAAATTATAGAAGATGGGAGAATGTGTGGCTCTGTTCCACAAGTCTGATGTGATGTTGGACAGACTGGCAGTAGGGTGCTCCAGCTGCCCAGCCAGGTCTCGGGTGCCGTTAGCTGTTTTCCTCGCCCACCAAGAAGCCACGTCTGCCCATCTTGTTGTGGGGAGGCTACCAGAGTGCAGAAGATGGGTAAGAGAGGAGCTTGGGGTTTTAACTTTTCCCCTGCTGAGGAGAAAAAAATGAAATGGCATCAAAGTTGGAAGCCCTTTCCCTTTTTTGGTAGGTAAAGCTATTTTGAATGCAGTCGCTACGGATACCCATCACTTCCAAGACTACTGTAGGGGCTGTGATGGGCTTCTTGAAGAGCGTTTCTTCTGTAGGCTTGAATTTGCAGTGAGGGCTTGCGCTCACGGTGGTGTTCTCGCTGCGGTTTTGCTCACCTCCCTCCCTTCCTGTGCCAGGAAAAGCAAAGATACCAAGGAAACGTTGGAGGATTTCAATGTTCAGCTGCTGTGTGGGATTCCAGTGTTGTAGCTACTGGCAACACCTTTGTCGTGTGCCCTCAGTGCTTCATTTTAGAGTGACTAATAAATACACAGGTTTTTTGCTCACAAGTTGTCCAGGTTACCTCTGTGGTCGCAGCTTCCTGTTGCACACAGAAGGTCATCAGGAGCTGTAGTGTGAGTTAGGCAGGGTGTTGGAAGGAGCAGTCTTCGTGGCTGCTGGGAAGCGACTCTGGATTAATCCAAAGATCATTACTAGCAATCTCCCTGCTAAGAAGGCTATGTTTAGCTAACAAAGCAGTCTTTGCTGTGGTTTAAACATGCTGCTTGTAAGGTGAGCTGCAGCGGGTGGGATTACCAGATCTGTTTGTAAGCCGGAGGGATGCTTATAATGTTTGGCTGATGGAAGCTCTGATTTTTCTCTCTCTTCTCCGTTAAATTCAGGCAACAAAACATTGAGGAAAATATGACGATAGCAATGGAAGAGGCCCCCGAGAGCTTTGGGCAGGTGGTGATGCTGTATATTAACTGCAAAGTCAACGGACATCCAGTGAAAGCCTTTGTTGACTCAGGTGAATTGCCCCCACTTTCATCCCTTTCTCTGCACACTCCTTTCCCTCACTGAGGGAGACAGTAAACGCTCCAGAAGTTTTGCCCAAAAATTCCATAATAAAGCACTGCATTACAAGATTTTGAAGCACCTAATTAAAACCTGTGAGGAGTCTGGGCAATGTTTAAGGCAAACAGAGCAAATTATTGATAGAAGCAGCATGCATGCGTGCTTGAATGCCCCAGATCAAGGCTCCTGTCAGAATTTTGGGGGTCTGGTGGCTGTGCTGCCAGAAAGATCACTGCCACACACGTCTTGTCTCGTCTTACAGATCAGGGGGGATTTTGCATGCCTTTAATTCTGTGCTTCCCGTCCACAGCCTTAAAGGGAAAGTTCTTGGGGTTATTCCAGCTCTACAGTAATATGTACTTTGCTGTCAGTGCTGATCTGTGTGTACACGATCAATTCAGCACAGTGGGATTCGCAGGAAGCCGTTATGCCCTAATGCAGTGCCATTTCCCAGCTGCTGAGTGCAGGATCCTCAGCCTTTCCAGGAAAGAATATTAATTTGTGATGAGCTGTCAGGATTTAACACCAATTCTGTTGCCGGTAGGTGCCCAGATGACCATCATGAGCCAAGCCTGTGCTGAAAGGTGCAACATAATGAGACTGGTAGACCGGCGATGGGCTGGCATCGCTAAAGGTGTAGGGACGCAGAAAATAATTGGCAGAGTGCATTTAGGTGAGTACTGGTGGTTTTGGGGCAGTTTTAGCAGCAGTTTGACTGCATTTCCTGCAGTCCTGGTGCCGAGAAGTATCTGGTATAATGCTATAATTGTTAGAAACTCCTGCAGAGTAAAATAAAAGTGCATCTGCAATATGTTCGTTTGTCTCAGGCACAGTACTCTTGCTTCTGTTTCATTTAATGCTTTTAAAATTTACCTTTACACTTGGAGGCGAGGGAGCCCTCAGCTCAGAGGATGTGTTCACTCTGGGTGGAAAAAATGGCACTAATGTGACATAACAAGATCTTTCCTGTTTGGGGTGGGACTGCTGGGCAGTGCGCATTGCTCAGGAAGGGTTCTGCTGCAGTGGAGCGTTTCCTATTCCTTTGGGAAGAGAAAGCTGGCTGTGCTCTTGTGCGGGTTTTCTGGGTGAGAGAAGATTGTCCTTGTCTGAAAAATCAATTCTCTTCACTGTTGTTGCTTTTCAGACTTCTACTGTAACAAGCTGTGCGCAGCTCCTCTAGCTTGCAGGGTTAGATAAGTGGTACTTACAGCAATAGAGCAGGCCAGCTTTTAAAATAATTAACTTCTTGAGACCATGGCAGGCCTGACAGTGCCCAGGGCTTGCACAGGGGCAGACTTGCTGTGACCAAAGCAGTGTGTCAGAGCTCCGATTTCAGATTTACCCAGCAGATTTGTCTCTTTTCCAGGAGATGGAAGAGCAGAGAGTAGATCTGTTGTGCTGCAGAGCTGTGAGGTGGTAACTTCTCTCCCTTGCGTTTCAGCTCAGGTCCAGATCGAAGGGGATTTCCTGGCGTGCTCCTTCTCGATCCTTGAAGAGCAGCCCATGGACATGCTTCTAGGACTGGATATGCTTAAGAGGCATCAGGTATCAAAACGTCTTTTGAAACAGTTACCAGCTCTTCCAAGGGAAGTGTTAAGTGCAACATAAATGCCTTGCCTGTGAATTCATTAGGATTTTTCTGGCGAGGGTTGATGGTGGATTATCTTGCAGCCGGTTATGGAAGAAGTACATACACTGCATACATCATGGACAGCTATAGAGTGTCTCGCTGCTCCCTGAAGATTTTTTGCTCTGATCAGAGACACTCAGAGCTTTCCACCTGAATGATTTATTACAAATCAAGTAATACAGGGCCCTTTGCTTTGGCCCACGCTTAGCTGCTGTGAGCTGTTCCCATTGGAAATGGATTGTTTAACCTTGTTTCTCCTTTTGGAGAAACATTTAGAATATTGTGTTCAATTCTGGGCCCCTCAGTTCAAGAAGGACAGGGAGTTGCTTGAAAGAGTCCAGCGCAGGGCCACAAAGATGACTGAGGGAGGAGTAGAGCATCTCCCTTATGAGGAGCGGCTGAGGGAGCTGGGTCTCTTTAGCTTGGAGAAGAGCAGACTGAGGGGTGACCTCATTCATGTTTATAAATTTGTAAAAGGCGAGTGTCAGGAGGAAGGAGCCAGGCTCTTCTCAGTGACAGCCAATGACAGGACAAGGGGCAGTGGGTGCAAGCTGGAGCATAGGAGGCTCCATGTGAACATGAGGAAAAACGTCTTCACTGTGAGGGTTACAGAGCATGGCCCAGGCTGCCCAGAGAGGTTGTGGAGTCTCCTTCTCTGGAGACATTCAAAACCCACCTGGACGTGTTCCTGTGTGACCTGCTCTGGGTGATCCTGCTCTGGCAGGGGGGTTGGACTGGGTGATCTTTCGAGGTCCCTTCCAACTCCTGCGATTCTGTGATTCTTTTTTCTCTGGGAATTGACTGGCTCTTACGCAGGCCCCTGATGTCTCGATGCTCTCTTGCAGTGTTCGATTGATCTCAAGAAGAATGTACTCGTGATTGGCACGACTGGCTCGCAGACCACTTTCCTCCCGGAGGGTGAGCTCCCGGAGTGTGCCCGGCTGGCTTACGGGGCCGGGCGGGAAGACGTGCGGCCGGAGGAGATTGCAGACCAGGAACTAGCAGAAGCAATACAGAAATCCGTAGAGGAAGCAGGTACCAGGAGGAGCCCAGTTGTAATATTAATCTGCGTAGTTTCTTTGCTGTGTATCAGGATGTCCATCAGCAGTCCCCCTTCCCAGCTCCTAGGAGATATGGCCTAATGCAGGATCAGCGAGTAAATGGTGGAAAAAGGAGCTTTATTCTTGCTCAAAGGCTCTAACTGCACTTCTCTCTTCCTTTCTGTACAGCAAATCTGTCTGCATGAAGGCATTTGGGGGTGCTTGCTGTTTAATTTGCACTTTCCTTGCGACTTCCTACCCGCTCTGGTTTCTTGGCCTTTGAAAGAAGTGGAGATAAATGGTTGTCTCTGGCACCCATTCCCCTGGGTCGAGCTGTCGTGCCTCGACAGAGTCACTACTCAGTTATGGGATATTTTAGCAGCCTTGCACATGGACAGCTTTGTGGAGACTTCCGCAAATCCTGTTCTTAATAGCTGCAGTGTATAAAAATAGAGGAGCTGTAGCAGTAAGTACAGATCTGTGGACAAAAGTTCCTGACAATTTTTGGAAATAGTACTGTTTCAGCATTTTTTGTTCCTTAGAATGGCGCTCGTGCCCTTGGAAGGTGAATTGCTTCTCTTGCTGAAGATTACTGTTGCTCCAAATTTCAAAAATAGCAGCTCTATTCACATCCTAATGTAGATCATCAGCTTCAGTGAGATCTGAAAGAGAATTTTCACCCTGCCCATAGTTTTGTTGCCAGTGCCTCTGGGATCCATAAGCTGCACAAACGCAGACTGATTGGCCTACGGAAGATTTTGGTAGCTGCAAAATTCTGTTAAGTGGAGATGCCAAAATAGCTGAAGGCTGAGCTATGAGCCAGAGTGTCTGAAACTCAGATTTTCTGTTTAACTCCTCCCTTAACTTCAGCAAATGCTTTTGACTAAAGGAAAGCTTCATTTTTTTTTCCCTGCTATTACCGGGAAGCCGTGAATAGCTTTTGACTAAAGGAAAGCTTCATTTTTTTTCCCTGCTATTACCGGGAAGCTGTGAATGCCTCACAAAATGTATTCCTTAGGTCTTTTCCAGAACTTCTAAAGATAATATTTTATACTATTTTACAAGTGTTTTATAGAAACTTTTGATTTTTACTGCTGATTTTCCCTCTACAAGCACACAGTAGGATTCTGCTTCCCACACACATGCAAACCTCTTTGCCAGGTCATGTTTAAGCTGATGAAGTTGATTTCTTCAACATTTTGATTGCTAGTTTTTAAGACTCTAGCATGCTCCTGTTTGCAAGTGGAGTACAGTGACCAGATTTAACCATATCGATAGATATATAACCAGTTGTAATGCACTGAAGTTTTTGTTTAACACTTCCCAGTCGCTCCTTGATAGTACAAAGAGTTAAGCAGCGACTTTCTTGCAAATAACAAAGTTGTTTACATTAAGGGGAGCACGGGACTGCACTTACTGGTCCCTTTGACCAATTTTCTTCCATTCTAGGAATGTAAGTTTTGCAGAGGTACAAAAACCTCAAGAGTAAAGCCTGGCTTCAATGAATCAGCAAGAAATGGTTTACGTGTTTGACTTTTAAAGCCAAATTTGAATGCTTATTAGGTGAAGTTGCAGCAAGTAGAGAGAAACACAAACATAGGTTTGACCTTGCCCCGTCAGGTTTTGACGCAGCTGAAGGTCAGACTCGGTAGCTTGGGCTCATGTCTCCTCACGTAACCTGGCAGAGAAAATGTGCAGATGTGTAAATACTAGTTCTTTTCCTCTTAAAATTTTGAGCCTGGTGAAGCCTGGGTTGGTTTTTGCAGTCTCTCTCTATTTCGGATAAGTATTTGCAGACATCGTCGTTGGTTGGACTTGGTTCTCTGCTGAAAGGGTGAAATAAAAAGCAAACGTTTGAGCCCAAAGTATGCGAGTCTTTACCATAAAAGCATTTTAGTCAAGTGCTTTAAAATGAAAAGTGCCTAAAATGACTTAGAGTGAAAGCTGCTTATGTACCAACACAGTTCTGAAGGCCACGTGGCTTTGCTCAGACTGATCAGCAGTCTACCCCCTCTCCACTGACGCTTGGGCCTAGAGGAATGTAAAAGATTTATGAGAATGGGAAATCCATTTTGCGAACTCACTTAATGCTTGTAGGGCGCCGATGCACAAAAGAAGGTAGGTCTTGTCTAGATTGACTGTGTAAGTCTTAGACGTCTGGCCCACAGGCGTTTGTTGGCTGGATCCTAAGATGTCAGGAGGTTAATGTATACCCTCTTCCTCTCTTCCAAAACCATGAGCTGCTGCTAGATGGAAAACCAAGGGAAAGAAGAGAAAATAGGAGAGGGAGAGAAAATAATTGCAGGACCAAGAAAGCTCAGCCACCCCCACAAGACCTAACGTTCTTCCATAACAGCTTACATTTTTGGTGCCTTCTGGTAGATGGTACCAGAGAAATTGCTGCATATGTCTCTAGGCTATTAAAGTTCTCATTTTGAACACACCTGGATTATTCTTGAGCTTTATTTAATTCCCCCAAAGCTCACTCATGATTTCTGTCAGCTGACTTGCTGGTGTTTCAGCACCTATAGAGAGGCAGCTGAGGTGGTGGTGGGGTCCTGGTATGTTTTACTGTGATCCAGATCCTCCACATCTGCTGCATTTCTGTCTGAGAGCGAGCTCTTTCCTGCCAATGTGCAGTGTTTTCCTCACCACCACTGGGAAACTCAGTGATTAGGGAGGATTTACAAAACTGACAGCAAAATTATAGTTGCTTTAGGAGGAAGTGTGTTCAGGTGGCTTACCCCATATACAGCTTTTCATCCAGACAGCCTCAGTATGAGGAAGGCACTGCCACTCCATGTGCAATTCAGGCTTTTCCTGGTATAGAGAGGAATTTGTCACTGATGGTGCACTGTGTGGAGAAGAGCTTGTTCTTGATGATCAATATCCCTGATGGGGCTGGGATGCAGGTCCTGTAGGATCCCCAGGAGGGAGGTGATGCTGAGGAGTGCTTGGCAGAACACCAGCTGCCTGTGCTGTCTAAATGACCTCAGATCCCTCATGTGTTTGCCTGAGCAGGCCCTTACTGCAGATCCACTGAGTCAAAACAGTTCTGCTTCCTCTCTGAAGGACTGGCTTGGGAGCAGAGAGCACCAACGCAATCCTGCAGCGTAGAAATAGAAAAGGATCCCTTTGGTTTTCATTCATGTCCTGTGTCATGAGCTTCTTGTTCACCCTTAGGAAAGATGAGCAGTCTGAAAATCTGCAGGATACTTCTGGCTTTGTAACACTCCAGCATCGCCAAGTTGTTGCAGCTGCATTAAGACCAGATGTGCAGCCAACCGAAGGGATTGGTCTGTGCAACCACTGCTGTATTTTATACCAAAGGGTGTCGATCAGAGGTGGTATTGCAGTGTGAAGTACACCATTTTTATTTAACGGAGAATAAAGGAAACAAGTAGCTGAGCTGAAAAAGGCAGATTTCTTCCGTGGTGTAGAGCTTAAAGGAAATCCTGGCTCTACGTGTGAGCATGGTTAGCTGTGCCCCCGTACGCCTGGGTATCTGCAAAAAGAGAAAGACTTAAGGTAACACAGTGATATGTGTTGAAGACCACTGAGTTTGGAGGCCTCTGGAAAGAGAAAGGGAACTAGTGCAACAAATCATGCGGCACAGAATTGGGTTATCCGACACTGGAGTAGGGTTTTAATGGAAGAACAGGCACTTGTACAGCAAAGGTCATGTTAGAGACTTAACAAGACCATGAGAGCTGATGCATTAGCAAGATTAGACTATTAGCAAGATAAATTTACTTATTTAATCTGTCCTGATAATGAGACCCAGTGTTTGGTGCTACTGATAGAGATCTGCAATTCATCCGCTCCCTGTGTGGAAGAGGAATGGGTGAGCTGGGTTTGACTTCTGGCTGTCCCTTCCTTTGCTCTGCTCTGCTCAGCCTTGGGCAGCAGTTCCTCTGGGGCATCCTGCCTTTCACCCTAGGATCTTTACGCTTCCCTTTTGCAGCTGATACTTGTTTGCCTTCTCCCTGCAATGCTGCTTGCCATCGCAAGGCAATAGCTGCTGAGAGCACGGTCCAAGGATTGTGATGCCCTCATAATTCTCATTTCCCCAAAACGTGGCTCGAGAATATCTTCAGCTGTGTGGAGAACAAACTGTTTCAGTGCTAGACACGTGCCTTGTGCTGCATATATTTTATCAAGTGCACAGTACCACACACAGACTGCTCTGCAGTGTAGATAGTACAGAACAGCCTTCAAATTGTCCTCCAGCAGTTACTTTTTACCTGACCTAAGGAATTTCCCAGGCAGAGCTCCTTCTCAAAGGCAGCCCCTGCTGCTTGCTCCTTGCTATCTTGATGGACAGTAGGGAGAGGAGCTGCAAGGCCACAGGACTGTAACCATGCATGTGGTGTGCTCTGAATGCTAACACAAGTTTGGTGTGTTTGTTTCCTAATCCAAACAGAACGTCAGAAGCCTTGATGCATGTAGTGTGTGTTTACTGCAGCTGGAGTGGGCCACAGACCAGGTATTTATAGCCCTCAGTTTATAAGTTTTCACTACGATAGTGAAAACCGTGATTCTCTTGTGTCCTAACTCCTCCTTTCTTTCTGTCTTCTGTTAGAGAATAGTGACAAAGAAACTACCTCACTGGAAATGCCCTCATTACCAGCTTCTGATGGGTTTCAAAATCCAGTCCAGTCTTCAGGACTAAATTCCAAGATCTGTAATTCCACAAATCAATTACTTGATCGTTCTGTCTCTGCCCCTGCTTCAGTTTGCTCATCCGAATCTAGCCTCGCGGAGCCCATTGATCCTAGAGCCGTCAAGTCTTTTGAGTCTTCAACTGAATGCCACATAACCCCTGAAGAGGAGCATCCTCTCTTATTACAGCGTCTTTCCAATAACGCTTCCTCGGCAAATAACGACCCTTCTCCTCAGACAGAGGATGTAACCTGTTGCAATCCAGCTTGCCTTTCACAGAAGACACCAGAAGAAACATTTTTTGCTGACAGTCTGAAGGAATGTAATGCTAAAGAACAAGATCATGGTCAGGAACAGCCTTTGGAAGTGACTAAAGAAAACAGTTTGGCTGACACTGCTGCTAAGCATGGGCAAAATAAAGATCTACGTCCGTCTTCAGAACGGGAGCAAAAGCATGAGCTTCCCCATGACCATCAGACATGCAAAGAACCAGAGAAGGAACATCTGGAGAAGCAAACTGAGACAAGTGACCCAGAACCTCCTTGCCATGTTGGTGGGGTTGAGAAACCTGTTACGGAAGAAGCCAGCCAGCCAGAAAATCCTCCTCTGGAAATGAGAGGAGATGGACTGAAGAAAGCAGGTCTTTCCTGTGTGAAAGGGGGTATCCAAACGTCAGCCTCCTGTAGCTATGTGCATGCAGAAGCCTTCATGGAAATAGATGTAGTGGAGCCGTCTGTAGCTGAAGCACACAGCTCAGCAAGCGAGCAGAAGCAGGAGGCTGAGAACAGAAGTGTATCTGACCTGAACGCAGACGCCTTTTCGATGGAGGTGGAGTCACTGAAGTCTGCATCCTCCTTGAGGGATCCGTTTTCCAGCAGTGACGTCCCGCAGTCCAAAAGCACTAGTGAAATCCCTGTGAAGTATCATGAGTTCTCTGATTTGGCAGCTGAAGACAGCTCTTGCCCTTCCAGCATCCATCAGCTGGACACAGACCCAGGAAAACCTTCAGAAGAGCCCTGTCCTTCTCTAGCATCAGCCTTGAAAGAGCTTCACAGACTCTTAATTATCAGTTGGAAAGAAGGATGTAAAATCCTTGCATCTGAAGAAGTCTCTCGGCTGGAAATGGTTCGCAAAGAGCCAGCAGCACAACAGAAGGGGCTTTCTGACAATGAGCAGAAAGGCTCACATCCAGTCAGCCAGGAACAGAGTTGTTCCTTCTGTGAGGTGAGGTCTGAAGGTGGAAGAGCAGAGGGGAAACAGCTTTGTGATTCTGGCACAGAAGACGGCAGCACTGGGTCTGTCAGCCATGTGCGGTCTGCTCTCGGAGAAGCTGCTTTGGAGGTTCAGAAGTTTTCAGGCAAGAGTGATTCGGTCATGGTGGATTCTGCAGCAACATCTGACCAGCAACAGAGCTGTGAGCAGGCGGAAGTTTCAGCAGAAGGTTGTCAGAGTCCACCCAGCCTGACTTTAGAGCAAAACGCATCTGTTTCCTCTAAACCTGCTGTGGATGAAGGTGCATCTCAAGCTACTCAGAGCCTGTCCACAGGAGCACCCGGGAGCAGCAGTTGTGCTCCCGAAGGTCCGCGGCCAGTGGGTGGGTGTGAGGAACCACTGCTGAGCCCACCAGCTGGCTGCACTGGACTCACCTCCACTGCTTCCCCACCACCCGCTTTCCCTGCCGCTGATGTAGATCGCATCCTCGGCGCTGGTTTTACCGCCCAGGAAGCTCTTGAGGCGTTGGAACAAGCGGATGGAAACGCAGATCTTGCTCTTCTCATTTTGCTAGCCAAGGGTATCGTTGTTCCTACATAACTACGGAAGAGGTAGCTGACTGCAATGTCTTCTTTTAAAGGACGTATTTAAATTACACACCATAATGTACAAGCAGAATGTTGAGCCAGATTTTTTTAATTCTTTGCAGCCAAAGTAACTTGTCTCTTCTGTTTCACTCGTTAGATTTGGCCTTTTAAAAGAAAGAAAACGTCCTAGCATTGTGTGGACAGGATAGCTTTTAATGATGCATACTGGATTAAAATTAATGCTTTTATTTAACTGTACACATTTAGAATAAGCTCCAATGTTACGAATAAAAAGCAGAAGCCATTATGATCACCGCCCCATCCAGCACAAAGCAGGTTGTGAAGTGAGTTGGCCGCGCGTGCGTGTGCACGGGACAGGAGGTGCACGCTGGGTTCGGTGTGGCGCAGACGTGAGACGGCGCTTGTCCAAACGGACTCTGCAGATTTGTTTTAGCTCTCCTGCGCTTTGTAACCCAATGTCCGTCTGTGACGCTGGTGAAACTATTATGGCAGCTACCAAAGGTATGTAGATGCCCACGGACACGTAACACTTTGCAAGAGGGGTGGAGGGGGTTTTTGGAAGCGTGTGTTTTTGTGTGTACATGGGGAAGGCTGGTGCCTATTTTTGCCAAACCCTTTTAAGCTCTTGGGCCAGTGTATTCAAGTTTACAACATGGGGATAGAAGAAGGGAAGGGACAGAAATTGGTGCTACCAAAACTTCAGAGACGTTTTAACTTATTTGAAGATGTGCTGGTATTAATTGTAGGTGGGGGGGATGAGAAAAGTAGTATTTAACTTTTTTTCCTAGCCTTGCCCACATCATGTTTCCCCCATACAAAAGAACAAGATCAACTACTTTAAAGCAAAACCTGAACGATGAAATTGTTTAACAAACCAACCATGTCTTTTGGCTTTTATTCCCCCTCTGCCCCTGGAAGAATGAACTGTTTCAGTGGATCCATCCCCTATCACCGAGCAGGGGTGTGATCAGAGGAATGAGGAAATCCGCTTTGCACTAGTTTTATCTCAGTGTTTGGGGATGATCAGCCTCTCAGCTGTGGAAATGCTGGTGGGGTACCCATTTAATACCTCCGAAAGAGCGAGGGCTCCCCAATAGGGTTTATGAAACAAATGCACTGACGTGGCTTCTGTGTTACAACCATCGTGGCCTTCCAGGAAGTCCTCGGTGAGTAGCCTGCGTGATGAGGACTCGCCAAGGCTGTGCTGTAGGAAGCCCTTTCCAGACGATTTTTTGGGAGATTAATTTATTTTTGATGCTTTGCAGAGCCCCAAAACTCTGTTGGGACTGGGGATGGAAAGCATGGCTTAAACATACCAAATTTTAAATAGGAACTTCTATGTGGTCCCACTTTCAAATCTCAGAAGTGGCTTTGTGTCAGGTGTTCATCTTGAACTTTCTGCTTTGAGCTAAACCTGAAGTGATGGGTCAGCAGCGGCTGGAAACATGTTTTGTTCATGGCTTTCATTTGTTTTCATTGTCTCAGGCCTGTGTTCCTGGTGTTTTGTTTCCCCTGTTGTTTAGCAGATTTGCCTGCGTGTATGCTAGGCCTTTTATCATGCAGGGTGGCATCTGAAAAACCACACAGATTTGGTTTCATCTGTGAACTTGCAGGAGTTCCTGATGTCAGTGAGCGCTGGTTGTCAGATATTTTTCTCAAACGCTTGGGCAGCCAGGAGATCCTTTAGAAATAAGGAAGAGCTTTAAGGCATTCCTCTGTCTGTCGAATGGAGTTTTTCCGTGAGCTGTGACCGTACCAGTTGAGCTGGGGGTCCCCACCACGTTTAGCTCATATCCCATTGCTTGTGATGCCAGCATTGCTCTGTGCATACATAGGAAGCAGGGCTTGGCTGTTTGGGGGCCCCTTGCTGGAGCAGCATCGAGGAATTCACTTGAGGCTGTTCAGAATTAGTTACTGAGGCAAGACTAGAGCTTTATGATCTTTACCCTGCAGGTGGTCAGATTTACCCCTGCTGAAGTTCTTAAAATATTCTCCTTCCAATGAGCACCTCAGATCAGCAAAAGTCCCCTCTGTGACACTTGGTCCGGCACGGGAGTACAGTGTCATCAGATCTCTCTCTAGAAGCCGTAGGAGATGAGATACATTAGACCCATTCCCATCGGCACCTGGTTCATTATCAAATGCAGCAACAAGAATGAAGCTCGCAGCTCTCGGATCCAGAGCATCCTCAGTCTGAACAGCCAAACCTGCTCCCGCTTCACGCCATGGGTGTCAGTGAGGTGGTCCTGGGTGCAAGCCCCCACCTGGTATGCAGGTACCAGCTGCAAATTTTGGATGCACGAGAGCTGAATTTGCACCCTTAGCCTGCAGGTTCATCTACTGCCAGCTTCTTGAAGCATCAGATGTTAGCCATTCCCATGTTATACCCTTTTCATATTTACACTTTGTTTTTAGAAGCAATTGCTAATAGGTAGGTGAAGTACTGCTGCTTTGCTCCAAACTGGTTAAAGGCTCTAGTTTTATAGCCACATTTACTTAGACTGCATATACTGAATTTATGCTATAAAAGCTTTAGAGCATCAGCCAACTTGCTTCAATGCTCAGTTTTATTCTTTGTCGGACAGAATTTCTGAAACGTGCCCTTCTGCCAAAGCTGTACTGAAGCATTTATCAATAGTGCTAGAATTTCCTGGGTAACTTTCTCTGAACTGCTAGAAACAAAGCCTGACCCCCAACTGATAAATACTCGTAAAACTTCTTTTATCAAGTTGGTCCAAGCCTGGTGATTTAAATGTCTTCATTTCAGAGCCTTGCTTTGAGTGAATGGCTACGTTCTGCTAAACTGGAGAATAATTGTTTTAGGAGCAAGATTTATGTTGGAGAAAATTGGGGCAGTGGTGAGGTTAAAATAAAATGTGATAGAACTTGTATTTAGTGAGCACTGTCTGAGAGTTGTCTTCTGTTTCAATGTGCACGTGTGTCCTCTGCTGTATGCACACATCCTTTGCTCATCGTTTAGCAATCCCTTAACTGGTCTCTGCGCTTACATGGCCTGCGAAGTGGGAATACTTCTGTTTAAGCAGGGATGGCAGACGTGCTACAACTTGTTGGCTGGAGCGGAGGATAAAGGTAACACCAAAAGCTGTTCAGGTTTCCAAGGAGCCATGTACTCTGGCCTAAAATGAAGCTCTTCATTTTCTTCTCTTCCCCTCCTCATTAATCACTGCTCCTGTGTAATGTCCTGTCATGCCACATCAGCTCAGCAAAATTATTTCAGGATGAAAAGTCCAGCTATAGAGAATAAAGCAACACTCAGAAGCTGCTTTGTAAAGATGCCAGCGTGTGTGGGGACCCTCGTGGGCCTGTAGAGGTTGTTTCTGGATGTTTCCTGAAGCTGCTGTGGTCCTGTACCTTGCTGGTGGTTTCCCAGATGTGTTCTCCTTTAAGATACTGAAGGAGTTTCCCCAGCTCTTGCCGAATGCACGAGTCCATACATGAGGTGTGTCTAGAGGTGCTGTTTAGTGGAATAGCAACATCTGAAAGTTTCTGGGCGCAGATAATTCTGACAAGAGGAGGAACGTGTTTCCTGAGGATGGTCATGTTTACCTGCTGCTGGACAGAGCTGAGCTGTGCTGCGTCACCGTGACAATCTCTGCCTCGTTGCTCTGTGTGTTCAACTTCCTACGTAGACACGTGGTCTCCAGGACTGTTAACCTCGTACCTCCTAGATGTTTTCTTCCTTCTGTCTTTGTCTCTCCCTCTTGCCGTCTCCTTTCCTCAAAAGTAGCAATATTTAAGTGTACTTGCTGAATGCTTAACTTCCAGATAAGTTTTCTTTATAACACTATGCCATTTACGAATAAAAGGAGGAACGGATCCTAGGGTTTCTTCACCAGACTTGGACTTCTTGCCAAACTGCTCCCCAGAACTCTAATGTGAATTCAAGGAGAAATCGAGCAGTATTTTTGCCTGCTTCTCTCGGAAGTCAGCTTGGGAAATGGGGTCGGTTTCATGTACATGTTTCCCTTCTGAAGCGTTCAAGAGATTTTTCCTGCACTGTGTAGATGTAGCTTAGTCCGTGATCCAAACACGTAGCGGTTTGGGTTACTCCTTGACTGATGCTTTTTAGCTTAAGAGTTTTACAAACTCACTTAAGGAACTTGAGGGAGTCAATACTCAGGAATCCTAAAGCTGGTTGCATTTGTGTCATTTACTCTTCTGGGCTGAACACGCTGCGGTTGTCCTTGCAGGTGGGTGAAGGGAGGAGTGGTTGTGTCATCGGAGAATGGGATGTGGTTCTGCCCAAAGTAATACACACTTGATTCTTTTTTTGATTTGGGTTTTTTTTTTAATATCGGGGGACTGTTTATCAACGAAATTGATGTGTACAAAAAGTTTGATATTTAAAAAAAATGAATAAACACTTTATCATAATGTTGCTTGATTGGTCTGTCTGTATTTCTGAGGTCAGCATCTCTGCACTCAAATCCTTCTCTGACTTTTTTTCCAACAGCAATAGAATTTCCTTAACATTTCTAACGAGTAGAAATCTGTGGTAAAAGTGATTTCAGTTGGCAGGGCCTGAGAACAGGCATGAGAAATTAATGTATTTGCCTTCTACGGAGATGGGCTGAATTCTTCAGGCAGGACCTGGCAGTGGAGGAGCGTTAGAGTACAACACAAAAGGTGGCACTTGGCCACAGCCCTGTCTGCTGGAAAAAGGAACTGGGCGCTCCTCATGTCTCATGGGTCCATACCTCATTGCCAGCCCTATTAGGGGACAGTTGGTTTTATTCTTCTGGAGCTGGAAGCTAATCTCTTGGGACATCAAAAAAATGGCATTTATATGCCTAGGAAGCTTGTGACAGTTTTAGTTAGAAATAACTTTTAAAGTCCTGTTCTCTTAGTGTCAGGTACTAGAGCAGTTTTTGGAATGGGAGAGCAGAGGATCTTGCTCCTCAGCCTTGTGGTGCAGTCAGCGAATCCTGAGAACCAGCATTTGTCTGACGGGGCAGTAATGCCTTTTTTTGT